CAAATTCCAGGACGTTTCCCGCCCAACAATAGCCTCTAAGGCCTCTGATGGATGGGGGAAGCATTATAGACACCGCTAAGCAAGTGGCCGAACTCGCTTGCTCGGCGGGACTGATGGTGCGCACCATTTATCGGTAGGGTAAAGAGACTGGTAGAATATCATAGAGGGAAGCACAATAGATCAAACTGGTCGCGGTGCATGGGGAAACCCACCCTCTCTAAATAACTAACTAACTACATGGCAAGCGGCAGAATGTCATAAGCAAGAAGGTCGCAGATTCAATTTCCAAAGAGGTCATTGGAATTTTTCAATTGACGTAAACCTTCCAGCCGTACTGCTGCCCTGGCGTCGACTCAGCCTCTAATAGAAATGAATACCAAGAGTCTTCCTGGGTGTAAAGAGCGGACGGAGTAAGGATGGAAACCTCACCGCTACTTGTGAGCCTATTGTCTGGAAAATGGAGAGCGTCGACGTCTCACAACACTGAGCGCCTCCACGGCCTGTTACAGGGACGGGCTTTGCCTTTTTCTTTTGTTCCGTGGACCTGTACATCCATTCCCCCATGTATCTTCATGGCGTAGTGCTCAGTTGGTTAAGCACAGGCACAACTCTAACTTTGTGTACTTATATTCGAGATGGCTTTGTTCCAAACAAGACTATGAACTCTGATAATGTACCTACGTATCCTCTTAACCTTTTGCGGATTCCCTTTTCTCTATACAGCTCTATATATCCACTTTTTTTTTAATTCGCTTAGTGGGGAGTGGAGTCCAACTGGGTCCCCTCGGCACAGCGGTCACTGATTGGCCTATTGTAGCCTGCCCCGGGTGATCATGATGATGGAGAATTTGGATGATTGAAGATTGGCAGGGGAAACCGAAGCACTCGGAGAAAACCTGCCCCAGGGCCACTTGACCAGACCGGGATCGAACCCGGGTCGCCGCGGTGGGAAACCAGCGACTAACCGCTTGAGCTGTGGCGCGGCCTTACATATCCACTTACTCTGAACACATCGCTAATATTAGCGGTGAGTGGGAAGGACGCTTCGTGAAAGGAAGCCTGCATGAGCGTGGGACGCAAACTGAAACGGGCCGTGACGCAGCTCGCTTGGAAGAGACGCAGAAATGTTGCGCGTCGCCTGCGAACATGCGACGGTGAAGGGGTGGGGACTTCTAATACAAAATTTGTGATAGCGTATTATTTCGAGCCCGACCGTGGATGCATAGCCGGCAAATGGGCGGCCAGAGGGAGCCTGCTCATTACTCATCAATTTTATACGCTTTAAAGAAGGAAGTAGCAAGAGTGGGTAAACTGAAAATATAGAAAAGAAGGTGCAATAAAAATTGTTTCCCTGAAAACAGCATCTACGAGTGAAACACGAACAATCGACGCGACTTTCACTCTATTGAAGTGTTCTTACAAGACTAAAAAATAGTTTCGTAAACACGTTGGGAATTATGTTGTGGTGTTCTGATTAATAAGACCCTCTAGTTTATAAGTGCATCTGGACAGGTTACCTCCAGAGTGTAAATAATGTTCAAGAAGGCAACTTCGGAGTTTGGGAATTGGAACTTCTCAGGTCATGACAGTTAAAGTTTTCCTCTCATTTACTAGAATAGTGAATGTAGTTCCTCTGGGTTCTTTGTTAGAAAGAAAAATATATATTTTATTTCTTCCTTCGTAGAACTAAACATAATGTAGAAAATGTACTTGTGCATGTTTCAAAATCAGAATGACAATCATAAAAAATATTATTGAAAGAAATTATCAGAAAATTTCCAATTATAATTAAAAAATCAATTCCATAAGAAGATTAGAGGCATTTGACACTGGTGGCAGGGTGCCTAAGGCGCAGAACAAGATGCTGTAATATAACAAAGAGTGATATATTGGGTTTTCGGACTTTATCCATCGTCCTGGTTTTTAAGATAACTAATAAAAACACGACGTTTCGGAAACTGGATCTGTTTCCGTCCTCAGGTGAAGGAAAACACCTATTCCGTTGGGTCCGTCACCTGAGGACGGAAACAGATCCAGTTTCCGAAACGTCGTGTTTTTATTAGTTATCTTAAAAACCAAGACGATGGATAAAGTCCGAAAACCCAATATATCAGTGTGTTATACACCATCGTCAGAATCCTATAGTAACTACTAATAACAAAGAGTGTTGCCAACCTTGTGAATAGTCACTTCCCGCACGGAAACAGGTAACGCGTGATACTGACTACTTCAGCTGCACTTACACTTCAATATCCAGGTTCTCCAACTCTGCTTCCTTTGTCTTTACCTTCCTCATTACATTCCTCTTCTACTTACCCCTTTTCTCTTCCTTTTCAACAAATAAGGTCAACAAATGAAAAGTGTCTTCCTGGATTATCTATTCAGGCTCCCGTTTGCTGTATTACGGAGGTACAGTCCCTGTGTTGAGGCAGATTAGAACACTTCCACCGTAGCCCTGCGAGGCGAAGCAGGCGACGAGACGAGATCGCGGTGCCTGGGAGTATAACTGGGCCAGCCTTTCACTGGAGGATACAAATACAGGAACCTCGTCTTCCAGGTTGTGTTCGGAGACGGAGCTGAAGAATGTGCTCTGTAAAGAGAAATTATTGTTCGAAATCAGAAGAAATGAAAACAGGACAAAATTTGGCAAAAAGGGCTCTTTTGACAATAAAGGTCATGATGATCATGATGGAAGTATAGATTTCGAATCAGACCTCACAAGTTAATTCGTTCGCTTTCCAGAACCATCAAGATGTTTGAATTCATGTTGGAAGCATTCACATTGACACTGTTTAGTTAGTTAGTTAGTTAGTTAGTTATTTAGAGAGGGTGGGTTTCCCCATGCACCGCGCCCAGTTTGATCTATTGTGCTTCCCTCTACGATATTCTACCAGTCTCTTTACCCTACCGATAAATGGTGCGTACCATCGGTCCCGCAGAGCAAGCGAGTTCGGCCACTTGCTTAGCTGTGTCTATAATGCTTCCCCCATCTATCAGAGGCCTTAGAGACTATTGTTGGGCGGGAAACGTCCTGGAATTTGGCTCAGTGATCCCCTTTGGGGATATGAGGTTCTTTTACGTGCCGTAAAGTTACGACACGGGACACACAGCTTAAAGTCCCTCCCGGAGGACTTGTTCCCTGAATTTTTCCGCCCTTAAAAATTCGACTACCTCCGCCTGGTATTTGAACCCGCGTACCACGAGTCATGAGGTGGAAACGTTACCTCTAGACTACGGAGGCCGCTTTGACACTGTTTAACATTTTAGGATAGTACAAATTGCTCAAAATTTTCTTCTTCTTCTTCTTCTTCTTCTATAACTTTATGGACTATGCGCTCCGACTTCCTCCATTTCACTTCTCAAGACACTCGTCCTTTTGGAACATTTGATGGAGTTCCTTGGATGAGGAATCATTCGGGAGCACAAGGCGTCGAGACAAACACGGTCACAAATCCAGAGTGGGATTCGAAACCTCGATCCCAGTGTTGATGCGACTGAACACATTACCACATCTTAGAGTGAACGGCCACGAATTGTTCAATACTGAATTAAATTCAGTTCGAACATTGTTTTCTGCTGTTATTTGCGTTTAATTACTCGTACGAATATATTGCTTACATATAAAATGCAATTCAAGTTATAATTAATTATTGTAATCACTTTAAAAATGATAAATTACAATATAAAATATCGTATATTGCTTTTAATTTTATTATTCTTCTGTCGTAATTATTCATATACTGCTTTCCCCTCCCATATTTTGTCTAATGATTAGGATTCTGGCATCTTTATATCTATCTATATATCAATCTATCTACGGTTCTACAGCCCTTATGGACCTTGGCTACTTTTTCAGTTTCTTAATCCTATATAGAGTCGGTAGGACTTCTTGGACAGGGGATCAGCCCGTCGCAATGCCGCTAGATTTCTGGCATCTTAGTACTTTAAAATGAATGAGATTAATTTGCTTTTAAGTTACCAAGATACTGTGCCATGTATCGCCGTTTTGCTCAGTGCATATCGATATCCTGGAAACAAACACATGTCCGGCAGCACAGGGAGAACTACGTTTGCCATTTCTGTTTATTTCTTTACCTCTTTTCTCTGTTCCGACATCTATCTATTTTTTGTTTATTCTTTCTTTCTCTCGGAAAATCTCCTTCAGGTCTGAGAAATGTTGCGCATACATGCATACTGCGTACAAAAGTGACACAAGCTGTCCCTTCCAGTCACCGTCTCCAAAACAGGAGGAGTCATCATTGAATGAGATGTTCTCACAGCGGTCACTATTAATAACACCATCTTCAGGGATGTAGCGCCATGCAGTCCGCTACAAGTCCGCTGACGTTTCGGAGGAATGTATTGCTTCCTTCATCAAAGTTTAAGAGAAAGCTAAGCAAGAAACCAACTTACAGAATTATGGGTTCTTGTAATTTTTCCATTGTCCGGTATAATAGAAAATAGAAATACGACGTTTCGGAAACTGGATCTGTTTCCGTCCTCAGGTGAGGGGAGGAAGACACCTACTCAGCTTGGTCCCTTAGAAGTAGCTAAATTGCAATCACTGGGCTGAGATTAGCTCCTTCTAAGGGACCCAACTGAGTAGGTGCCTTCCCTTCCTCACTGTGTTATACACCATGGTCAGCACCCTTTGGAATATACAAGGAACCAAATTACTATCCTGATGTTTTTTCCTTCGCTTAACTCATCGACCCTGAATAGAAAGGCAGTATGTTCCTCCGAAACGTCGGTGAAATACAACCGGACGACATGGCGTTCAATTACAGAAGATCTTATTCTTCGTGCAGCGATCTGCTTATGGCTGCAGTGTTGGAGCCGAGTTGCCCAGGTCCACACTATGTACATCCGGCGCCTGAGGCCCCAACACCAGCTCCCATTAATGACAATGACCAACTTAGCCTGAGCTTTCATAAGACCTTGCAATATACAAGACGAATCTGCTTAACAAAGAGAACAGTACCACACAGCTACTCCGTGAAGGTATTTCCCCTGCGGTGAAAGTGCTGGAGCCACCCCTCCACCTACATCACATCCCGCTGGGCCGTACCCGTGCTCTGCACACTGCTGCATATAGTGTCTTCATCTCACACGGTGCGTGAGTGACCGTCCGCAGTGGCTGCTGGGTAATGCCAAGATGACAACGGCAACTGCTAGCAGGCGCGGCATCTCAACACTCGCGGCCCTGGTGTTTCTGCTAGCTTCTGTTTCGGCGGTTACGCAGGATAACAGAGACAAGGAAAAGGTAAGAGGACTTCAGACAAGAAGAGTAGCAGAATGAACTGTAACGAAGTGCACATACACCACTGAAATGTCCGCCGAATAACTGTTTCTACACATAAGCCTTCTCTTAGTCTTCTGGTGGGGTGAGGTAGTGAGCCCATAGTAGCAGTCCTGGTTGCGATAACGTGTAGTGGATCGAGGCCTCGCAAGGGGAACCGAATTACTCGGAAAGAATCTGCCCCAGTGCAATTGTTTTTTCTTTTCCAGAAATGCCAAGGCGTCGCGATGAGAGACCAGTAGCTAGCCTCCATATATGTGACATAACCCCTGATACTCGCTTTGACGTTATAACTCTTATGGGGCCATTTGGAAATCACTGTTTCACTAATTATCCACGTCTCTGTAAGGATCTACCTATCTACCTGTCTATGGTTCTACAGCCCTTGTGGACTTCGGCAGATTTTTTTTTCGGTTTCTTAATTCACAGTCGGTAGGACTCCTTGGATGGGGGATCAGCCCGTCGCAAGGCCTCTGCCTACACACAGATTAAACGCATACAGACATCCATGCCTCAATTGGGATCCGAACTCACAATCCCTATGTTCGAGCGGGAGAAGACGGTTCATAACTCTGACGGCGCGGCGACTGTGATCAGATTTCTCTATATATATTTTATTATTTTTAGTGGGGTGAGACTGACGCCACTTGGTACTGCAGCCACTACTGGCCTATTGTACCAGCCCCAGATGATAGATGATGATTCTGGAGCAATTTGTGGAAGAAACAGTGTCAGGAGAAGCCGAAGTACCTGCCCCATTGCCATTTTTTCCGCCACAAATCCCACATATACTGACCCGGACTCGAAACCGGGCCGCCGCGGTGGGAAGCCAGCTACTAACCTCTTGAGCTGTAGCACGGCCTCGGATTTCTGTAAAGATAACATGATATAATAATAATAAATATAATAATCATAAAACTAAAACAACAACACGAAGGCATTCTTTTCGTCAACGGCTGACGTTGTACTGCAGACTAAACATGCTGCAACACCAACTGAAACAGTGCCGTTTATTTCTGCCACATTCTGGTTCTATCGTAAGAAACTAAGATTGGTTTTTGCACTTGCATTCTACGAAAACGACATAAAGACAAAAAGGCAAACGTTATTGATATAGACTGAATTCCGTAGACTAATTATATATTTGAAAATAATGTGTTGCGTTTTTAGAATTTTCACTTGTCTCAATGTTGAATTATTGTAAAGGATAATGTAATCATAAATTTCAAAATTACCGGAAGTATACAGGAAGACCGCGCTAGTGACACACAAGAGAAATACGACACACAAAACTACGATAGCCGCAAAGGAGTGCAACGGCACCATTCTAGTCATGAGATAGAACTAAACATTGACTTGCCTGTGAGCACGGTGAACAAGTGAACAGTGCAGTGGTCTCCCCAAAAGCAAAAAGAAAAATCACCTGATGTTGGCCCATGTGGGCCGAAACATGTCGTAAACTAGGAAAATTATATATGTAGAACTAGAGACATTTTAGTAGTTTTGACAATCGAATATACTTTTAGTGTCCTATTGACATTTTAATAGTTTTAACATCATAAAGTATTAAAATACATTTTTAGTGAGTGACATATTCTCGATGTCTTTTATATTGTTGCATTAATGACGGGTACTTTGATAATAAAGATAATACCTCGAATTAAGGGGATGCCAAAATATAATATTCAAAGTTATATTTATACATATATTTAATTGTAAGTATTATCTGTTACTTACATGATCTTAATACTTCGTAGGATTAGTTATCTTTTTAAAATTGATATAAGTAAATAATTCCATGGATTTCGAAGGTTCATTACCTTGTTCACAAGAGCCCTTTACTGGTCCCTATCCTGAGCCAGATCAATCCAGTCCATACTACCGAATCCTACTTCTCTAAGATCCATTTTAATATTATACACCTACCTAGGTCTTTTCTACCTACTGGTCTCTTTCCTCCTGACTTTCCCACCAGTATCCTAAATGCATCCATCTTTCCCCATTCATGCTACATTNCTTGTATATTGTGAAATATTCACCGTATCGACATAGCGAAACGTGACAAACTTAAAGCTTAGTGAGGTTTATAAATTATGGCATTAACCACTGTTCTGTGTGGTCTCCATTTCTGAGAACAATCTGCAAAACTTGAGTTCAGGACCGTGTAAGTAATGCTCTATACCTGGAAATGAAATGAAACTCTCACTATAGTTACATTGTAAGTACATACCCCCCTGGCTACCAAATTTGATCCATATCCAGTAAGTGTATTGGCACGTGTTAGAGTGACTATTCAACGGGTTTCTGGATTGGAGATTGAATTTATTGACCACTTTCTCACACGACCCATGAATACAGTTAATTATAGCGCCATCGCTGCTCTCCACACTTTAAAAATTACTACAGCAAATTATGCCATTTCCAGCATCCTGTGTCTCACCGGCTGTCTCCTGGTAACGGCTTCTAACAGTGGAAAGTCTACAACTGCACCGACCCAACCTTCTTTTCACAGCCTCCCTTAAAACTGACAACTGACGATTGACTTGCCACGGTTATAACATCTCGGCACGGACCGCGTAGAAAACACCTTTCACTATTTTACTCGAAATATTTCCATGGGAAAGTGTTTGTTTGCGAAAGCGATATCCAGTAACGGCTGCGTACACTTTCTTATTAAGAATCTGTTGGTTAGCAGCGAATGTTGTTTCGTTGTTTATTTCGAGGTCGTTGGTAGCGTAGTTGGTTGCTACAAGCCAAAAGGTCGCGGGTTTAAGTCCTGATGAGGTTATTGGATTTTTTCAATTGAACTAATCCTTCCAGTCGCACTATGGCCCTGGGGTTGACTCAGACTCTAACAGAAATGAGTATCAGGAATTAATTAAATAATTATCCCGGGGAGTGAAACGCGGCCGTCGCTTAAGGCTGACAACCTTACCGCCATCTTTGAGCCGATTGTCTAGATAATGTGGGACCCTCAATGTCTCACAACCCTATGGGCCGTCACGGCCTGGTACAGGGACAGCTTTACTTTTTTACCAAGTAACAAGTCAATACTCGGCAGTATTCTGATATGCAACCTGCGCTTCTATTGTGACTATTTCTACAATATACGTCATTTCTTATACAATTTAAGCAATGAAAGCATTGCTTGGCATTTTACTTAAAGGCCACAGAAATTCAGATGTGTAGGCAATATCCATGCATTGTAATGTACAAGGAAGGAACCCACTTATCGTTTGGCCAGGAGACAGGAAGTGCCTTAGAACCTATCTGGACGTCACGGTTAAATACGGAACAATCCTTAGACTTATTCGTGGGCAACAGCAGAGTAGAGAACACTCCCTGTAAGACAATTGAACAAGCAATATGGAGTCAACAGTTTACAACTAAACTTTGCTAGCAGCATAAAACAGAACTGACTCCCGTCACTGTCAGTCCCAATTTGAAGACATGTCCTTTTATATGACAGTGCCCTATAAGTAGTCCTACCACTAATCGTAGCTGGTTTCTGTTTAATTTCAACAGATCCTTCGTTCTTCTGTCAGATGGTCCTTGTATAATTCAGTTTGCATTTTTGAATACAGTAAAGGATTCCCAATATTTTCTTATTATTTCTGTTTGTCCAGTCCCTGATCGCTTCTTTGGCAACTCCTACTGAGATGCCGCAAGCAGGTTCAGGTCCTGTTCTTGCCAGCTGATCTGCGGTTTCATTCCCTGCAATACTCTCCTACTGAGATGCCGCAAGCTGGTTCAGGTCCTGTGAACGGCTGTTCAGGTCCTGTTCTTGCCAGCTATTCTGCGGTTTCATTCCCTGCAATACTCTCCTGCTGAGATGCCGCAAGCTGGGTCAGGTCCTGTTCTTGCCAGCTGATCTGCAGTTTCATTCCCTGCAATACTTTCCTACTGAGATGCCGCAAGCTGGTTCAGGTCCTGTGAAGGGCCGTTCAGATCCTGTTTTTGCCAGCTGATCTGCAGTTTCATTCCCTGCAGTACTCTCCTACTGAGATGCCGCAAGCTGGTTCAGGTCCTGTGAACGGCTCTTCAGATCCTGTTCTTGAAAGCTGATCTACGGTTTCATTCCCTGCAATACTCTCCTACTGAGATGCCGCAAGCTGGTTCAGGTCCTGTTCTTGCCAGCTGATCTGCGGTTTCATTCCCTGCAATACTCTCATATTGAGATGCTGCAAGATGGTTCAGGTCCTGTGAACGGCTGTTCAAATCTTGTTCTTGCCACCTGCTCTGCGGTTTGATTCCCAGTATAACTCTCCTATTGAGATGCCTCAAGCTGGGTCGGGTCCTGTGAACGGCTGTTCAGATCCTGTTCTTGCCAGCTGATCTGTGGTTTCATTCCCTGCAATACTCCCGTACTGAGATGCCGCAAGCTGGGTCAGGTCCTGTGAACGGCTGTTCAGATGCTGTTCTTGCCAGCTGATCTGCGGTTCATTCCCAGCAATACTCTCCTACTGAGATGCCGCAAGCTGGTTCATGTCCTGTGAACGGCTGTTCAGATCCTATTCTTGCCAGCTGATCTGCCGTTTCATTCCCAACAATACCCTCATGGCCTGGCACCCATATAAGCTGAACTCTGTTTGTCTGGCCAGTTGTGTGAGGAATTGGTGGCAGTCCCAGACCAGTTTTAGGTGATCTGGTATTTGCCAAGTGCTTTGATTGCAGCTTGGCTAATCCCCATTACTCCCTACCTCGGAGGTTGAGTGGGCCCTGGTGTCTGTGTGGATGTTCTGGTGTACCGAAAGTCTTGAACCCCGGCCGGCCGGCCAGCCCGCAGCTCTCTACTATCCCAACCCTTCTTTACAACCAATTCCACCAGCAATGCAGAAGAGAACAGTCCTTCATACGAGTATCATGCAAGAGAAAACTAATTACGGCGAGACCAGACAACAGCATGAAGCATCATATAACTTATCCGTCGGCAGAGCTGCTCATTAGGAGGTTGATGTCCGGGG